GTCCCGACTTTCGAATCCGTACGTCGAGCCGTTTAGATTTGTGCCCAACTGTTGACGGACGCACGGACGCACGCTTATGCGATTCTACAAGCTCAGGGCTCGAATTAACCGACTGCCCCTATCAATCGCCGTACTGCCCCTGAAAATCCAACCCGACCGACGGCAGTCACCTGCCTTGCCCTTTTGTGTAATTGCCGTCGGTGCCCTTTAATCTACTGCCCTAGTTTCGTTTGTAAAAATGTTTGTTACTGTACTCCATTAGCAGAGGGGGGTACAGGGGTCGGTGTTATGGTGTAAGCTTACATGGGGGCATATTGTTTTGTACATTAAAAGCAAGACGATGTTGATGTACTAATTTGTTATAAGTTTTCCTTTATTTTACAAAAGTGCCTTTGTGCCCTTCCATTTTAGAGAAAATTCAAGGCGATTTCTCACATGCCCTAAAAAAATTGCCTTGCCCTTCTCGTCGCTTAATTCGAGCCCTGTACAAGCTGCATCTGACTATGTCAAATGAGCTAAAAACAACTACTCTGCTTAGCATTCAGCAAATAGAGATAGAGTGTGGCAAGTTAATTCGCAGTGTGAAAGCAGCTGCGGGACCTCAGGGTTACAGAGATAGGCGGTAGGCACTATCACATATCACTCATCCTATAGTATAACGGAGATAGGCACCGCCCTATCACATAGCGCGGAAAGGATTTAACTTTGCCCACAACACAGCCGATCGCCCAAACGCTGCACTGTGTCACGAGTAGGCGACAAGTGCACTTAGCGCATACACGCGATTGTTAACGATGACAATGTACCTGTGCCGGCGGGATATTCATCGGTCGACTTGTAGACACCGGCATCGCATCGGACGTGTTGCGGGCGGGGATGGCTATTGGTTGCGTGACCGGAACGGCATTAACGCTGTTGTCCCATTCGGGTACGTTCTCACATGGCTGGGCAGACACCACGATGCAATCCTCCTTTGTGACAATGCAACATTCTTGCTCCTACAAAGGGAAAAAACAAACATTCATCTTATACCGGTGACAAGAGTTCGTCAGATGGTACATAACGAAGGCTTAAAGGCATAATTCGACCATCGATTATGCAAAGTTGACGAATGCTACAGTAACTGGCACCTTGTGTAGTTAATAAGTACATTACCTTATAGCCAAACGCGTATTAGTTTGTCCAATATCACTGCTAATTACTAAGAAATGTCTAATTGAAATCCGTAAATTTGGTAATCTGGCGACAACGCTAAATTTATTGCCAACAAAATAAACATCGAGTTCGGTTCGGTGACGTCACATGTTGCTACAGGATGTTGAGCATCGAATTGTTTGTCCCGGGTAAATTGTTTGCCTAGTGTTATTATTTGCCTAGTTGCCACATATTATATGTTGCTTGTAATCTCAAGAACTTCGTATATTCATTTATTCCCGAATCCCAAGAGTAAAACCATAACGTACGGAATGCGCACTCAGACTACAAGGATCGAAATCACTGACGGCCGAGCATACGTGCGAAAATGTCCGGTGCACTATAATCTGTATGACACCGCCTCGCCGGTTACGGCCGGCATGGCGGTTTGTAACTGTCAACAACCGATTTCTTGGACTGCGGATTTCAATTAGACATTTCTTAGTAACCAGCAGTGATATTGGACAAACTAATACGCGTTTGGCTATAAGGTAATGTACTTATTAACTACACAAGGTGCCAGTTACTGTAGCATTCGTTAAAATTGCATAATCAATGGTCGAATTATGCCTTTAACAACAGGTGCTCCATATCTCACCCAACGCGCACGTGAGAATTGACAACGTGAAACAACGCAAATACGCTTATCATTTATTAAGTAAACATCGAGCCGCTTGCTTGAAAAATGACCGATGGTTTGCACCCAAGAGGTGAAAATAGCAAACCTCCTCAGTGCTCTTCATGAGATCATCGACCAGAGTTGTTGCCTCTACTGCCTCCTTCACTTCGGCAGATGTCAGATTCGTGATGGATAGGCAGTCATCACATGACTCGCTCTCTTCTGCCTCCTGCATTAATTACACCAACGCACACCCCATTAATTACAACCACAGCAACAATTACCAATAATGCCCGCTAGATTGAACTGCGCTATAGAATATGTGCTTGGGCGGTCTCATTAGGAAGCATTAACTCTATTTCTTGATAATCGTCGGTCTGGTAAACCACTAGTTGGTTGCTAGTAGATGTGAGCGCATCGCGTGCTATCTGCGACAACCGCTTCACCACTAACCTGTACATGACTACGTTTTTCATCCGTATCTAAATGCGTGTCGAGATCCGACTCGGTCTCCTGCTCCGTGGCTACATCGCACGGTGCGGCGTCCTGCTGTGCCGCTACGCCACGCGTCACCAAGTCCTCCCGTACAACGGCCGCACTGTCGCCCGCATCGCTGCACGCTGACACACCACTGACAGCCGATAGCTGCACTGATGACGACGGCGGCTTTTCGGTCTCACTTCCCGTGTGGCGACCATCGTCGGCAGTAAGTTTTGACGGTCTGTGGCCAACGCTGTCTGTGGCACGGCCGACTTCACTGTTTAATTTCGTTGACGCATCACCGTCACCGCGATTACTAGAGTTACCTTGTTTTTTAACCTCAGTCAACTCACCAATAGAGTCGTGGATCTTTGCAGCATTTTCTAGGTCTATAACACTTTTATTGAGGCATTGGCCTCGAGGTATTTTCTGTCTTTCAGAATACCATATATAACTTAATACCGCAACTAGTGCGGACACAGCTACGCCTACACCTAGAGCGACTTGTGGTTTGGGAGACATTGCTGCTGTCGACACTTACACATTCACCTCCTTCCTGTTAACCAAACAAAATGAGGGACAAATCAACAGACGGACAGATTCTTGCTATCGATGAAATTACTTTACCTGCGCATAGAGAATGATATTTGATATCGCTCTACTCGGCACATGTGAATTCAACAAAAAATGGCGGTTTGCAACCGCGTGCAACTTGCGCCTAAGTCTTGGCGTACCGAAGAAGTTATTAACCGCAAAAAGTTGTCTTTGCTTACTACCTGGAAATTGCCATAGTATGTTCTATAGCCCTGCGGCGGAGCGGAGGACTATAGTTCTAGAGTTATATCCTAGGTAGCTCTAGTAACTATATAGACCGCGTACAGTTCTCGCTGTACGGCGGCTAGTACCAGTGGCGTACTATTACGGACTAGCAGCGGCTACTACAGATCCTACTCCTAGGGGGCCTACAGCAATTTTCTGATACAAGTGTCACATTTATTATTGTAATGACCTTGTTAACGAAATAATATGTCGCATTATAAAATTTTACATGAATTCACTGGCTAATGACATGTAAATTGTAATGGAATTAGCCATTGACAACGACAGGGTCAGTCTTAACGAGCACACGATCAACAAATTACAATAAATTCTAATTGAGTAAAGCTTACATTGGCTGGTTGAAATTGGGCTACATAACAGTGTAAAATAAAGTCTGAAATTCGCATGAATGAAAAATTAGGCTTGACGAATTACGAACCTCTCGTCAAAACCGTAACAGCTGCCAAGAAAATTTCATGCACGCGACAATATTTCCGTAAATCAAGATGGCAGACGGAGGTTGAACAAAAACAAACCTTTGTAATTACTCACTATGGCCTTGTAGCGAAACAAACTCTTTTCTATTTATTCACTGTAGCTATCAAAATTCACGAAGAACTTCGTGGCATCACAACTATGCTTCTTCTCACGTTATAAGACGAAATATACGCCGACAATTTCCAACACGTGTTGAAATCGTCCATTACAACATCAACACGTGTGACTTTCGTTTGTGGCCGAGGCCGCCGAATGCTTCCGAGTTTTGCCGAGAAAATGATGAATCTTTTAAAGTGGCCGGAATCTTGGCGAGAACGAACCGAACCGATAAGGTAGACCATATTCACCGGTAGGTGGCACCAGTAGATGAGAGAGGGCAGGGAGTGTCTATATTCAGGCCGGTACGGGAGATTACGGTACGCATATATTTGCTAATATATTGACTAATCGCGCGTCAATAAACTCAATATTCACAGAGAGTATAGCTAAGACATGTGTCTATAGGTATCTAGAATATATTATGCAAATGATCTCCTGTACCGGCTTGAATTCATATACTCTCTGTGAATATTGAGTTTATTGACGCACGAATAGTCAATATAGCAAATATATGCGCGCGGAAGTGAATTACAGATGATTAAATTTCTAAAATTCTAGATACCTATAGACACATGTCTTAGCTATACTCTCTGTAAATATTGAGTTTATTGACGCACGATTAGTCAATATATTAGCAAATATATGCGTACCGTAATCTCCCGTACCGGCCTGAATATAGACACTCCCGAGAGGGCAGGGGCCGGGTTCAAGCATATCTGAGAACAGACCACTATTAAATCCTCCATAGGATCCTATACTTAAGAATTGAATTTCAGGAGCTGAAAAATAGTATTTCGACCGTTTTCTGCCGAGTGTCAATATTAAAGCTAGGTAGCCATGTACTTCAGCTGTGCACAATTAGAGTTATGACATATGTTGTCTGGCGTTTTTAAAAAATATCGCGAATTTACTAACCGACACCACATTTGTGCCTGAAAAACAGTCGCGCAGTCGAATGGGGGCCATACATTAAAAGAATTCGTTTTAAATTACCAGTTACCATCCACCCATCTCCATGTGCATGTCATTGCCACACACGATAGCCAGCCTAAATAATGCAACCACAAAACGTTGCGTCAGCTTTAGTGCACGAGCTGCGTGCCCTCCGATTGGTCGGCCGATGATGCGTCACATCCTCTAACCCACTGATCTCTACTATACTAACGTTACGTACTATGCTAACTACGTTAGTAATATAGTATAGTATAGAGTCCCTATGTATAGTATAGATCAGTGCTCTAACCTAACAGGGTAATGAACCGGTACAAACTCCACGACAGATGGCGCTCTCGCTCATGGGCTCAATCTATCCTGAGTGAGTGAGTGATGGGGCACTGCATGCAGTTTGGAACCGGTAGTGAATTAATAGTGGTCACGTGTCATCTATGGCCACAATACTAACGTCAATGATTACCTCCCCTCGTCCTGCTCCTCCTCGGGAAAGGTCCTGCTCTTCCTCGGGGGGGGGGTAGTGTAGTTAAGCGGAACATACGCCTGTATCATACAGATTACCACAATACTAGCCGAGCATCAACAATATACCAAACATACTCGAAAAATGTGAACTGACCCAATATGCTGACGATACATGTATATATGTCACAAATTCAGATCCAAATGAAGCTGTTAATACACTGCAAATTAATGTGGAAAAAATTAAACTGGTATTCAATTACCATAATTTACAGATGAACCCAGACAAAACAGAATTGATGCTATTTTGCCCCAACAGTAATAAAATTGTGGATACTAACAAAATTGAGTTGGAAATAAGTAACAACTCGATACCACAATCGAGAACAGTAAAATTTTTAGGTATGTATATAGATCAGCATTTAACGTGGAATGACCATACTGACTTTAGTGACTACATAGTAGACAAGATGAGTACAAGTATTAGCTTCCTTAGACAGATACGGGGTCAACAACACACAAACACAAAGCTGCAAATATACTCGTCACTCGAAATGGTACCTTAATCACTTTGCTTGTAAAGACTTTACTGACGTTTTTCTTCTGGTATCTATTTTTTCTTCATGTTGACTTTCAATTTACTTGTACAGACTTTGCTGAAGTTTTTTCCTGGTTTTTATTTTTTTCTTAATGTTGTATGCCCTGTTTTGTACTGTATCACTCAGAAAATCTATCACTTTAACTGCTCAACACTATTGCATTCATCAGTATGTCCATATTTATATAAATATGAGTGTGTGTATGTGTGCGTATGTTTGTGTAATATGTATATAATGGTGTACGTATGCGTGCCAAAATGATGTTAAAGTGTACCTTAAAGGGATAGTTTACTCTAGGTTCTAGGGTTATTTTCAGCTAATTTAGGTTATAATTACGCTACATAAAAAGTTTCATGGTTCAATCACCATTAGAAATTTTTTTTTTCAATGTTTTAAAACTAACGACTACAGTTTGATTACAACGACGGTGGCGCCACTCAAAGCGCACGATCTTATAAGTTGCGCAAAACCACTTTCCAGCCAATTGGGCTACAGGCCGAGGGTGTTTCTTATTTATTTATTTAAAAGCAAAAGGATTGTAATATCTTATAAACGACATATAGTTTCAGTTATAATATGGATAAATTTGCCCTAAAATGAATATCGTTCGGTTAAATAGCATTTAAGTATAAATATAATTGAACTTTTGTGATTAGCCCTCGGTCTGTAACGTGCAAAATAAATTGTCAAATACGCAACTTTTTCGGGGTGGCAGTACGGTCGCAGGTGTCATGGCACCGTTCAAATTTCGTAGCGTTGATGTTTAATTAATTATAACAATTAAATTAGGTATCTGGTAACAAATACGTGTGGGTATAGACGATTTGTTATACAGTAAGTACAGTTGTATGCAGTAAAATCCTAGAGGCTACTGTCCCTTTAATCACTATACTTGTATAGACTCTGCTAAATTTTTTTTTCTGGTATCTATTTTTTCTTCATGTTGTCTTAATCACTTTACTAGTACAGAATATGCTGAAGTTTTTTTTTTTCCTTTTTTTTTTCTTCATGTTGTATATCATTGTAATTGTACTGTATCCATTAGAAATTTTATCATTTTAACTACTCAACACTATTGCTTTTATCAGATTTTTTCTCCATGAAAAAAACTCGTCAGTACATGTATTTGTATCTGAATTCATGCAATAAAGATTTAATAATAATAATAATAATAGCACTATTTTTAAAGTGGGCGGAGCTCCGGGAAAATCCAGCGAATGGAGATTCGTAAACATAGGCAAACAGCGGCACCCGGCAGATAGATGCGATATGATATGACTACTAGGCACTTAGGATATGACTACTCCTTAAAAAAAAAAAACCCTAACCCTAACCCTAAAAAAAAAAAAAAAAATTAAATTAAAAGTGCCTAGTAGTCATATCATATCGCATCTTTCTGCCAACACCCAAACAGCGTATGATTTGAAAGAGGTAACTGGGCGCACAATCAGCGTACTATTTCGTATCAATATTTTATCAAATTTTTCATGAAATAACGGTTGGATTTTTAATATCTTTGCAACTTTTATTAGTCCAAATCTTATTACATAGGATACGAGTAACGTGGCTGCTGTAAAACTTGTAGTAAACACAAATTGTAACGGAAATCTACTCGTGGCAGTGGTGAGCGAGCGAGCGAGCGAGCGAGTGAGCGTGGCGAGCGAGATCGAGAGCGCCATCTGTCGTGCAGTTTGGGTTCAAGCAGGGTTCAAGCTGAGAACAGTTCGAACGTACCAAAGATGGTATAGGGCATTGAACAACAGTAGAGGGCGTCCATAGGATGCAGGCCTGAATAAGCATCGAACAGAAATTAATTAAAAATACGCACACTGTTACTGCGCTTACAAAACATACACTTTATTCATGTTAAATAACTACAGATTCGTGCTCTATGCTCCGCTCGAAACTTTTGCCAGCTCTATGATGCGAATTTCTACAGAGTAGTCGGGACTCGGATCCCGTTTCATACACAAAAATGGCCGACCGGCGACCATGGCTACGCTACTAGCTGGAATGGCACAATTACACAACACGAATAATTTTACTTCTAATGCTTTCTAGACGTCCACAAGGCATCTACCTTGCGTGCATAATGCAAATTATTGCACTCTAGTGCCGGATTTCGGCGAAAAAAAATGCCAAAAAAGGCCTTTTCTAGAGACGAAATAGTGTGTTATTATCTACTCTTGATATTATAGACAATGCGATCCACTCCGGTTGACAGACGCAGCCACAGCCACAGGCACACACACATAAATAGACAGATACACACGCACGCACAATCGCGTGAACACACACGTGAACGCACACACGCACACACACGTGAACGCACCCACACGTGAACGCACACACGCACACACACGTGAACGCACGCACGCACACACGTGAACGCACGCACGCACACACACGTGAACGCGCACACACACACACGTGAACGCAAACACGCACACACACGTGAACGCACACACACACACACTCACACACACACACACACAACACACACACACACACGTGAACGCACGCACGCACACACGTGAACGCACGCACGCACACACACGGGAACGCGCACACACACACACGAGAACACACACACGCACACACACGTGAACGCACCCACACGCGAACGCACACACGCACACACACGTGAACGCACCCACACGCGAACGCACACACGCACACACACGTGAACGAACGCACGCACACACGCGAACGCACG